CAGTGGGCACAAGGTGAGCAGAACTGACTCTGGAGGAACAAGCAGGTGAGTGGGGCCTGCTGCACATACCATGACACTGGCTGAGGCTGTCTGGTCCACCAGCAATTGGCAGAGTGGTGGGTGAACTAGAGGCATGGGGATATTGGCCAATCTGCTTGTGTAAACTCTGGTCACAAAATGGAATCACTGTGGTTCGGGCCTGCGCAAATTTGCTAACCTGTTCTTTATGGTTCCACACAAAATGCTTTGCCAGTTTCCCATTTTTTGAGCCAGTTCATTAAGCTAGCAGGCTCTGCTAGTAGCCCTCAGTTCTAGCAATTAATAGTGTAGAATTTATTCATTCATTGTTACTATAACTGGATCCTGTGGCTACCTGAGCTCACCCATTGCCTCCATGGCAGTCTCCTGTGATTGCTATATCCTACCCATTGTCTACATATCGTCTCATGGGAACCTCCTGTTGCTGCCCAACTTGATTTCCATGACAGTATAAACTACTCTTTCTATAAAACCCATCTATCTCACAGCTCCAGGTTACTTTTATTTTTCAAGGTTACTTTCTAAGGAAAGCAGATTTGACTCCAATTTTATTCCAAAAATTAATCCTATAACATACAACACAATAAAACAGGATTATTAAGAATGTTTCCCTGACAGACATATTGGGTTGTATTTCTCAGGACAGCATGGCAAGTTAACACTGTAAATGTGGACATGAAAACCATCAATAAACAGAAAACACAAGGGCTGCGAATACACTTTGAAGCAACAGTAAAAATAAGAATCAAACCATAGATTAATCAATCAATAAGGCAGAAAGTACACTAAAAAATCCAACACATCTTCCACAAAATGGCAAGAAAACCAGATCAAACAAATGGAAAACAGCAGCCTAAGAATATCATAGAAACAAGGAAGGAAGGAAAGAAGGAAGGAATGAAGGAAGGAAGGAAGGGAGGGAGGGAGGGAGGGAAGAAGGAAAGAAGGAAGGTGCGACTTCTCCTGACCAGGCTCCAGGATTACAATGGAAATGTGGTCATGGAGACAACCAACAGAAAGGTCATGGTCTAAGCAACTCCTGAAAGCAAAAATATAAAAAAAAAAAAAATGAATAAGGCAAAGAACACCTTACATAATCCAAACCCCAAATCAAACAATTCACATGAGTGCTGGATGCAAAGGAGGAAGAATTACACTTTGCAGAGTGACACAGCGGCACCAAACACAAACACAAAATGCTATTCCATCAAAAACAAAATTTGGGGACACTAGGAAGGGAGACTTACTAAAAGTGACATGCAACAAAAGAAGATGTATCTATGTAAGCATTCTTTACAACAAGCTTGTAAGTAACACTTGTGGCATAATGTTCCAAATGGGGGGAGAGTAAGAAGAGAAGTTGCAAAGAAGGGTGTGGCGGACCATTGTGGAAGTTTGACACTCATAGGATTGTAAACCAGCTGCCATAGGTTGTGTCAAGCTCCAGATCACAGGATGATCACAGGCTTGTGGATGGGTGATTTGGACCAAGAAGAAGGTGACAGAACACCAACTTTGATGGGCCAGAAAAAAGTCAAAGGTCCAAGCTCCTAACCTGAGCTCTGGCCTCAGCCCTCACTCTTGCTTCACTCACATAACCCCATGTGACTTCCTGGTGACAGGGAATATTCTGATTGGCTGCATCTCTTTGACCTCACAGGGCTGTGTGGCCATGCAACCTGTCCAATCAGCAGCTGCCTGGTCATAACAGCCCAGAATCTGGCAGCCTCAGCATTCTAGGAAAACCATGGTGACACACAGGCTCCTCAGCCTGCTGGAGAAAGCAGGTGAGTGGCTCAAGCTCTGCTTTCTGTGGTCTTTCTCCCCACAGGCCTTACCAGGGTGGATGTTCAGGCTCCGTGGAAGCCAGCAGATGGTGAGTGTATGGGGTTGGGTGTCTACTGAGTGGGTGTGTGCAAATCTGCTGAAAATGTAGTGAAGCCTAGGGCTTTTTCAACACTTGCTATGAAACCATTTCGCTTTTTCATCAATGACAATATTTGTTTATCTCTAAGGAGCCAAGTTGATCCTAGTTCTCCATTAGAGGTGATGTTTTGAAAAACACATGTCATGGAGAAAAGCCAAGTCAAGTTGATTTCCATACGCAGAGCATCTCACATATCCTATCATTTCTCTCACTTTTCCCTAATAGAATGTAGTTTCATGAAATTGAGTCACCACATTGTATTAGAGGACACTTCAGTTTGATGGTTAGTTTTATTGATGTGTTTGGGTGCAGAGTTAGGGTCAGTGTTATCATTATATCTAGGAATATTGTTGTGGTTAGGCCAAAACCTAGATTTTGGTTGGGGCTAACTTTAGTGTCAGGGTCAAATTCAGGCTTATGATTTAGATTAGCAATGGCTTTAGAATTAGGAAATCATTAGATGTAACCATGCTAGGGCTAATGTTAAGATTAGGGTTAGTAGTAAGTTTACTGTTAGGATTGAGAGTTGAGTTATGGGTAGCCCTATGATTAGGGTTAGGATTACACTTACAAATAGGATTAGGAACAGTCCAAGGTTAGTGTTGTTTTATGAAGTAGCATTGGAATTAGGATTAATGTTAGGGATAGATTAATGTTTGGATTAATGCCAGATGTAGAGTTTATGTTATAGTTCTGGTTCAGATTCAGTTTTCTGTTACTGCTAGATTGAGGGTATTTCCACTGCGTGGCATTAAAATAGATTTAGGGTTACAATTAATGTTAGGATTAAAGCTGTGGCTACATTTAGGATTAAGATGTTTTGTGCTGTTTTTATAATTATGGTTAAGTTATAGTCAGTGCTAGAACTATTATGCTTAGAGACTGAGTAATGTTAGGGTGGGGGCTAATTTTTCTAGGATTAAAGTTAGGTCAAAATCCAGTGTCATGCTTATGATTAAGGTTTTTGCTAACATTGGATTTAGGTTTAGTGTTACAATTAGGGTGATGAGTAGAGTTATCATTAGGGTTAGGTTTAGAAATACAGCTGGGGTAGGTTTATTACCATGGCTAGGCTTCAAATTAGGGTTTGGGTTAGAGCTAGGTTTAGGTTTAGGGTTAGGTTACTGACTAGGTTTTGAGTTGTGTCATAGTTTAAAAGCTAGGTTAGTATTAGAACTGGGGCTAGATTTGGATTAGGATTAGAGTTATCTCAGGGTTAGTTTTTATAATTACAGTTAGGTTTATTCTGAGTAGGATTAGAGTAAGGGCTATGGTTAGTATTAGAATTAAGGCTAGTTCAGGTTGAGTTTAGGATTAGAGCCTAGTTTAGAGCTAGCATTATCCTTCCAGTTTGGCTATAAAAAGTCAAAAGATTGAGTTAGTGTTATAGTCAGGGCTAGGAATAGGCTAAGATGAAGTTTAAGGCTGAGGTCAGATTTAGAATTAGAGTTGGCTCTTGAGTTTATACTTTCTATAGTTACAAACATAATCCTAACTCTCATCTGGCCCTCATGTGAACACTAACCAAATCCATACAGTAACACTAACCTGATTTCTAATTCTAAATCCAGCCCTGATTCTAAATCTAGTCCTACCCCTTATCCTAACCTTAATCCTATAATACACTGTAGGCCTATTGTAGTTCTCATACCATCACTATCCCAAATTTTAATTGAAACCCTAATCCTCATAATAATCATGCCATAACTCAAACCCTAACCCTACCCTAAACCTAAACATAGTCCTAACTCTTACCATAGCTCTAAGCCTAATCCTAAATGAACCTTAGAACATAGCCTTCATCCTGTCCTAACCCTGACACTTGCCCTATCATTTACCTTAGCTCTTACCCTAACTGTCACACTGACTAATACCAACTCTGGTCCTAGCCCTAACTAATCCTAGCTCTAAATCCTTGCACTAACCTTTGCCTTAGTCCTAATGCTACTCTGTCTCTAACTATAACCATTGAGCTATCCCTAACATTAATCATAACATGATTAATCATAACACCAATCATAGCCATAGTCCTAACCCTAATTCTAGGCTTCATCCTAACACAAACCTGAGCCAACCCTAACCCAACCCTAAGAGTAATACCAAATCACAGACCTAACACTAACCTTAACCATAAATCTAATATCAATGATCACTCTAGTTTTAACTCTAATTCTAACTTTAATCTCAGCCTTAGCACTTGCCTTAACCCCAGCCCTAATGCTAACACTAATGTTAATTCTAGTGCCAACTGTAGCACTGGCCAAAAGTTTAATACTAACACATACATAACACTGCAATTTACCCTAACCCTAACTGCAATCCTAACTCTAATGTCAGTAAAATTTCTAGCCTTAATTTTATGCTAATTCTAACTTGCTGTAAAACTAGCCCTAATTCTAATCTTAACCCTAATGTTAATACCTATCAGATTTACACTTTGTCTTAACCCTATCACAAATAATAGACCTGTTCCTTGTCCATCTACACTATTAGCACTCACCCTAATCCTAGCCAAATCCTAATCCCATTTTTAAAAAAATGTAACTGAAATATGAGCATTAAAGCTAAACATAATACCAACCACAGCCATCACCCCAACTCTAACCCCAGACCTAAACACAACACTAAAGTTTCCATTAATCCTGAACCTAGTACTAAACCTAAAACAAACCCTACCCCTAAGGCCAACCCTGTCTATAACTCTAAGCCAAGCTCTCTACTTTACCTAACAAACCCCTAGACCTAATAATGACCCTATTCTACTACTAAGAGCATCCCTAGCTCAAACACAAATCAAACTCCCAAAGCTAACCATAACTCATGCAATAATCATAGTCATAGACATGTGTGTATGTGTGTGTGTGTGTGTGTGTGTGTGTGTCCCTTCAAACACAGGTCGCTAAATCATTCTTCCCCATCCCTGGCCCCAGCCTCAGCCACCCGTTTTGTCTGGGTTACTTTTCTAGCCAGGGCCTCAGCACACCTGAGCATCTTGGTGGTGTGCTGTTGGGCTGATTAGCGTGCAGACCGGGCAGGAAGGAGCTGCAGGCAGTATTGTACTGCCCCAGGTGTAGCCAGCAGAGGCAGGTCATCACTCAATGCTGAGCCCAGCTTCCTGTGGTGGACCGGGTGTTCCTTTCTCTCTAAAGAAATGGGGAAAATAAATGCATGAGTCAATGAGGCAGTCAAAATATTAAATTTAAACAGTTTTTAGAAAGATTTCCCAAGAACACAGAAAGAAAGCAAAAAGAAGGAGGAAGAAAGAAGAAAAAAAGTAAAAACTAAAAGGAAAAAAAAGCTTCCCAATGAAACTGTTGGTCAAATGTAGACAATGGGATGCTGGACTGTGTGACGTTGTACCAGCAATGTTGAATTACACTTAAAGAAGAGTACCAGCAATGTTGAATTACACTTAAAGAAGAGACTGTTGAAATTATTATACCAGTGTATTAAATGGGAGAAAATCTGTCGGGATTGAGAGTTTGGAGGGAAATCCCAGTCTATACTAAATTGGAACACATAACTCAAAAATTCAAAAAAAAAAAAAACGTGGAGGAGACATAGAAAGGAGGCGGAAGATGGAAGAGAAGGGGGAGAAAGTTTTAGCAAGACTCCCCAAGGACACAGAAAAAAAGCAAGAAAGTCAGTTAAAACTGAACATCTAAACAATAGGAAAAAAAAGGTGGAGAGATGGAAAGCAGGAGGCAGAGAGGGGGAAGTGAATTTTTAGGAAGACTGAGAGGACACAGAAAGCAAACATGTCAACAATGACACCAAGTGGCAACAGCGTGCAAAAATGCCATGGGGCAGCTGGTCCACCACTGCAGATGACCACAAGAATGGACCAGCTAAGTGCCACTGAGCAGCTGGTTGACCACCTTACTGGGAAGAGAGAGAGGGAAAGAATCATTGGGACCTTCAACCCACAAGTGTGCCCACCTGGGTAAAGGGACGCATGTGGTGCCAGCACCCCTGCCTCCTCTGAAAGCGCTCCTCCGTCATCCCAGAGGGAGAAGGGCCAGCTGGTGCCCCTCCCACCTGGTGGAGAGGACTGTGGGTGTGTGAGAAGCCTGAACTCCCACCCGGGGAAAATGCCTCCTCGCCCCTCACCCCCACCCCACACTGGCCCTCCCACCGGAGGCCACACACAGGCGCACCACCATCACCACCCCCCCCCCCCCCCCCCCCCGCGCAGGCATGCAAGGGGCAAACGCAAGGGCTTGTGGCCCTGGAGTTTCGCCTGGAGGTGCACGGCTAGCGAGGTGGAAAAAACGAACCAACCAAGGCTCAACCGCCATGCACAGCCAGCAGCACCACAAGCCAGTCCATGGGACGCAGGCCCACAGGCACCTAGACAAACCTTTGTGTCCAGAGCTGATTCAACGGATCTCATGGAGGGAGTTACTCTGCTATTTACAAAATCCTGGCCCAGAAGCAGATCACCCATGGATGGTTTAGCAGCAGGTTCCCCACAAACTTGCCTTCTGTGATGGGCTAGAGGGCTCCCTTTCCTGCCACGCCGTTTCCCAGAAGGAAGGGCTCTCCAAACTGGACCGGTCCCAAGGCATGGCAGCCTGACAATACTGCAGCACCTAAGGAGCCTCCGTTGGCCTCAGATAGCCACCGCCCCCCCTCCTCTGGATGTGCCCCTGCTGGGTGTCGGGATCAGTGCACAGTGCGGAAAGCCTTTCATCCTGGGTCTCAGGCAGAGGAGGAAGTGGCAAGCCACACCGGGAAAACAGAGCAAGAGATTCCACTCCCAATAACCCACCGTGTGTGTCGCACAAACGACCTCCCCAAGGGCAGAGGGGGAAGGACGCAAGGAGGGGGCAGAGACTAGGAATACATGGCAGGAACAGTGAGGCAGGCACCAGACTGTGGCCGGAGGGCCTGCGCTGCTACCGGACACAAGGCTTGCTTCCCAACCAACCCCAGGAGTTCCCCCCCCCACTTCCTCCTCAGCATGCCTGGTGAACCCACCTCTCCTTGCACTCATGCCTCTTTTCTCCTTGGCACACTCAACAACGCCTCTCCTGGACAAACTGTAGCACTGTGGAGCCAGGAAAGACAGGAGAGTGGAGCCCACATCCGGTCTGCACTTAAGGGGAAAGCACCCCCCAGAGGGGTCCTGCGAACACACATCCCAGCAGTGTGACCCGGGGGCAGGAAGGACAGAGACCAACCCCCACTCTGAGGGCAACTGATCCTCAAGCCAAGCCCAGACAGGCAGCCAGGCATAGCCCCTGGAGGAAGCCAGGGCTGCAAGTGCATTCAAAGTCAAGTGATTCTCTGCTGAGTTTTTGCATGTTGCTGCAAGGCATGGCACCTGTCTCAACACAGAGACCAGAAGGGGTGCCCCAGGCTAGCCAACAGACTTGGAAAGACACCACACAATGGCATGATCCATGGGGTTGGACACTCAGATGGACCCCACAGGCACTGGGGGCTTCTATCTCCACAACCTCACTCAACCCCAACCCACCCTTCCAAGCACTGTACAGGGGCGTGATACCTCAGCTCTTTGCCCCCATGGGTTGGCCTGAGTCACCACTACGAGACCAACACCAGGAGAGGGGAGGCACACACCCCTGGATGGATGAATGGGGTAGAGGGAGGCAGGCAAGGTGGAGGGAGGAAGGATAGCATAGGTCAAGGGAGCAGAGCCAGAAGGGGCAGGATGGCCAGCCAGTCTGACCCTCCAGTCTTGACCCCCTAATGGGCCCACAACTCTGACCCAGAAGTGAATGGGCATAAAACTCAGGGGTCTTTAGACCTCCACACACTGGGACACACTAGGTACCTGGAGCGAGAAAGCCAGAGAGGACAGGATGTGTGGCCAAGGACAGAATAGGGAGGAGTGTGGCTGCCACAGGCCTGCACAGCAAGGGTGGAATGGCAAGGCAAGGCGCGGCAGGGATTGAGATGGGGCTGGCCACACGGGGGGCTGAGACTGCCAGAACCTCTACGGCTCAGGCACAATGCCTCTGGACCACCGTAGGGCCTAGGGTTTCAAGACAGACACACCAGAGTCAAGAGAGGCACAGTACACAGCCCAGACACCACCACCCCCAACACCTCAGCAAGCCAGGCCCACCAGTCACAGCCCTGTACAACACAGCACCACAAGCATGGCCCATAGCTGCCCACTCCCCTTGATGCACGAAACATGGCCCCCCGCCTTCCTATTCTTGGTAAGGTAAAGATGAGACACTGGAGGGGCAGGGAGGAGAGAGAAGAACACACGTGGCTGAGGTCGGGGAAGGGAAAAGGGGAGCGAGGAATGCACAAAGACTGGCCGGCCAGCCACAGAGCTGGTCCGCGTAGCGTAACCCTAACCACAAGGCATGGTGGGGAAATCTCCCCTCCAGAAACACAGCACCACTGAAGAAACACCATGAAGCGGAGGGTCCACGCCACTCCGAGGTGAAGACAGAGCAACCGCCATCACTGACGCAGCACAGTGTACCACCCCGATGTCCCCAGCATGATCCCCAGGCCCACTGGAACCGAAAGACAGTTCACCTAGAGAGACAGCTCCTTTCTCCCGGCACCAAACCCACAGGACAATCCTCCCCATCTTGGCCGGCCCACAACAGGAAAGCACATGCATGGAGGAAAAGGGGGTGACAAGGCCCAGGCCTACAACACCCCCACACACAACGGGCACAGAGCGATGCCAAGCTGTCCATACAACCTCACAACAGAAACAGGCCAGAGCCTCAGGAAAAGCCCAAACGTGGGAACCACACGGAGTCTGGAAGGAGGAGGGAAGGAGGAAGAGCAGCAGATACCAACCGCCCTTGCCAGCCCCACGGCCTCGCCAACCTCAACCCTCACGCACACCACTTAAAAATAATCAACCCACGGCACCACCACCGACCACCGCTGCCTGACAGGGCAAGGTATGTGACTCAGAAGGGGCCAGAGTGTCCTCCCAACAGACGCAACAAGACCCAGGTAGAACAATGGGGTGGCAGAGACCTGGGAACAGGAGGTGGAGAGGCATGGGAAAAGAGGGCCTCCTCAACACAGACTGCCAACCTGAATGGCGGCCAGGTATCACACCAGTCCCCACACCAGGCAGGATCTCACTGCCAGCACCCTCAGAGCATAAGGGCAGTCCTGCATGGGGGAGGGGGAGACACCAGACACAACCACACAGCTGGGACATTGCAATTCATCCACCCCTCTCATGCACACACCTCTGCAACGAAGGGGAAAACTCCAGCTCCACACAGCACAGGCCACCTGTCACAGCCAACCGACCCCCAGCCCTGACAAATGCTCCCAACACGAGGCCACAGCTTGAGGTGAGGGGGTACCTGTGGGGATGACAGCATTGGGCCATGAGGGAGAGGCACCAGAGCATGAAGCAGAACAACAAGAGAATGCATCTCGGGCCAATGAAAGCAGGGTCCACCCAGAAAAAGGATATGGGATGCCACCACCACACACACACGAGGGTGGTCCCATAACACCTGGGACACCGGAACTCACCTCCAGCACACCACACACTCCCTGACATGCACCTGAGGCTCCTCCACTGGGACACCACCAAGGCCCACAAACTAGTCACCTCCTGACCTCCATTCACCAACATCCATTTCCCCACTCCAGAGGCCACAACCTCGTGAGAACACTCCCAAGACCAATACGGCCAAGTGGAGACCCAACAGGCCCAAACCTGAGGTGCTACCACCACCCTTCATCACCAGTGATGCCTGGCCAATGGCCATAGCAGCCCAGGGCATGAAGCAGGCAGAGAACCACCCTGCACCAGGGCCACAGGAGCAGCATGGAACAAGCCCTAGACACCCCAGATCCCCAGGCAGCACACAGAAGGCATCAGACCAGAGACACATTCACATGGGCTCATGCAAGTGACCACAGGGCCCCTCTCCATCAGATCTGTAGACACCAGGACACTCAGTCCAGTGGGACCCTCCCCAACACAGAGGGGGAGGCACAGGCTGTGGCAAGGAAGAGGCACAAGAGACAGCATCCAGCCCCCAGCAGCAAGGGGCCAGAAGAGTCCAGACATAACCCCATGCAGCCCACCAGAGGGGTGGGCAGAGGGCACAAGCGAACATTACCACCTAATGCACAACCCAAGCCATCCACGTTGTCAGCAGTGTGGCAAAAGACACACACAGGAGGAAGGAGAAACAGCAGAAGGTGGGCAATATGGCACATCCCTCGGATCACTAGACCTCCCCCACCGACCTCACCATGCACTTCTCACCAGGCCGACAGGGGAACACCCAGCCTAGGGGTCAAGTCTGAAGATGGTGGAGGGGTCTGCAGCAGAGGTAAGGAAGCCACCCTGCCCCCACGGACACACAGGGACACAAAGCCAGGCAAAGCACAGGCATCAGCAGCCTCCCTTCCCCAAAAGGCGAGGTGCTACACCCATACCTCCTCCTCCTTACCACCTCGACTTTACAGAGACTCCACTGAGCAGGCAGCACACACCAGCAGGCTGCGGTGGCACACCAGGGAAAGGACACTGGGGGAGCAAAGGAGCGACACCACCATTCGGTTTCAGGCACACGAAAGATGAACAAAGAAGACTGCCGCAGGAGAACCACACAGAGTCCAACAGACCCAGACTCTGGCAGACAAGTGCCCCACACCACCATGGGAGGGGCTGGCCCACGCACCTCCAATGCAGCAGAAGGCAGAGAAAGCAGAGATCATGATGGATTCCACACCCTGGCCTTTCCCACCACACCGAGGCAGGGGAAAAAGGAACCCACAAGACAGAACAAGCAGCTCAGTCTCACAGTTCTGAGGGGGTACTGTCGGCCACCGCTACGGAATGGACAGCTTGCAGCAGAGAGCAAACATGAGTATAGGACCCAGTGCCAGGCCTCACCCCTGCTACTCTCAGGACAATCCATTGGCCAGAGATGGCAGCACAATCTCAGGGCTAAACTGGGACATTCAGCAAAGCTGCTGCACGAACCCAGGCAGGCAGGCAGGTCACCGAATGGGCAAGGGAGACAGTGCAGCACCAGGCCGCCAGCAGCCCATTATGCTTCCCCTGCTCCCCAGATGCACATCCAGGGGTCCAGCTCTTCTAGTAATAGTCTCCAGGAGACTATATGTCAGCATCTTCCTGCAGGTTCAGAATGGCAACTGCAGGTGAAGAAATGTCCTTCCAGGGGACAATGGGAACACAGCCGCCCTCAGATAAGGGGCCCAGTCACAAATCCCCAGAAACACACCCATCTGTGACAGGGCATGCTCCTGTGGCCACCTGGTTGGCCCCAGGAGTGTGAAAAACAAACACATTTGATGGTTCCCCAATGGGGGGCGGCAAGAAGGAATGATTTCCACAGGTTCATTAAGCAGCGACAGGAATTGCCAAGCCTTACACTATGGTCAACAGCCCCATCTGGTCCTCTAATATGGTGGCAGTGATAAGGAGTGTGCTGGTCAACCCCATGCACTCTAGAGGTACTCAAGCCTGGTTACATTCAGGAACAAGCTGACTAGTACCTACCCACCCCTGCTGCTGCCTGCCTGCTCACGTGCAAGCCTCCAGGCCCAATCTCCAACCAGCAGCAGGGCAGGGACTCTCCTGCCTGCAGCTTGGGACTTTGTCACACCCTGCACCAAGCTCTCCACCCACTTGCTTCCCTTTGCAGGCTCAGGAGCATTCTACAGCTACAGCAAGGCTGCCACCAGGGGCAGCCCAACAGCCAGCACCAAGGAACAAAGGGACAGCCCACTAGATGCAGCCAGGTGATGAATCCGAGACAGGCAGGGAAATGTGTGTCATTTCCTCCCTCCCCTTGCAGGCTGTTTCTGGATTGCTGCACTTTGGCAAGGGGTGCTGGTGCCGGCCGGCAGGTTGGTCGCCTTGCCTTGCCTTGCCTCTCATTTATAATCAAACGCTGCTGTGACTGTCACTGGTGAAATGTTAACATTCTGTTTCAGTGCATGTAACACCAGATGGCATGGCTCAGCCTCAAGTGCCAGCTCTATGGAGTCAGACCAAAAGTCCTCCCACCTTGTGCCCCAGGTCAGCCCTGGCCATGAACAGTATGTTTTTATGCTTCGTGACTGGGGGAGAGAAGGTCCATGTCCTGGATGCTCCACTTCTGATCAAACTCTCTGCTTATGGTTTGGATTGGGAGAATAGTGTCGTGGTAGTGAGTGACCACGCATCTGCTGTGACCTGGATAAATCTGACTTATCAGTACATTCTTGGGGGGAGGGGAGAGGAGGTACTTGGTCACCCAAAGGTAAATAAAGAAAGCAGAGAGGAAATAAAAACAATACACTGATATTGACAGAGAGTGAAAAGGAAGAGTCTCCAAAACAGAATGAAGGAAGCAGATGAAAGATCTCTGAATTGGAAGCTATTTCCTATCACCTGGGGAAAAAACAAACAAAAAGCTGGAAGCAGAGCTGGGTGAAGCTAAAACACATACTCAAGAATTGAAAGACACTGTTAAAAGGCCAAAATGGACACGAGGCCACAGCTGGAGGTGGGAGTTATGGGTGTCCTAGAAGGTGCAGAAGGAGAAGCTGGGTTTAAAAATGTATAAAATAGGGCCTGGTGTCATGGCCTAGCTGCTAAATTCCTCACCTTGAACACGCTGGGGATCCCATATGGGTGCTGGTTCTAATCCCAGCAGCTCTACTTCCCCTCCAGCTTTCTGTTTGTGGCTGGGAAAGCAGTCGAGGATGGCCCAAAGCCTTGGGACACTGCTCCCATGTGGGAGACCCGGAAGAAGTTCCTGGATCCTGGCTTCAGATCAGCATAGCATCAGCCGTTGTGCTCACTTGGGGAGTGAATCATCAGATGGGAAATATTCCTCTCTGTCTGTCTTCCTCTCTGTATATCTGACTTTCCAATACAGAAATAAATCTTAAAAAATGTATTAAATAAAATAGTAAGGCAAAATTTGCCTAATTTGTACATAGATTTATGAAACAACATCCAGGAGGGGCACAGATCTCCCAACAGGCTTCACCAAAAGTGATCTTCACCACGACACAAGATAATCTAGCTCTCTTCAATTGAACATAAGGAAAAACATCTTTACATTTAAATGTGAAAAAAACTGACACATAAAAAAAAATGCTGGTTAAGTTCACAGCAGACCTCTCACAGGAAACTACAGGTCAGAAGAGAATGAGGTAACATATTCCAGATTCTAAAAAAAAAAAAAAAAAAAAAAAAAAAATTGTCATCCCAGGATAATGTACCCAGCAAAGTTTTCCTCTTTGTTTGAAAACGAAATAAAATTCTTCCAAAGTAAAGAAAGCTTAAAAGAATATGCCTCTTCCAAACCTGCCCTACAAAGGATACTTAAAGTTGTTTCTGCTAGTCCCTTGTGTACATAGGCCCGAAACCCACTGCAGCCTCCTGAGAGATCCTCTAGCCCATGACTTGTATTGCTCGCACTCCATGCTCGCTTTTCTGCCCAGCCACCTTGGCCTCAGGAACCAGGACCCTGTGTTCACTCTGTCTGCACACCACCAGCTGGCCATCCTCTGGGAATTCATTCATGCTTAATTAAATTGTCTTGGCTGTGAAAATAACATTCTTATATAAATTACTGAAAACTATCCAAACTTTCCAATTAAAAGAGTTTTCCAAAGTAGATTTTTAGCCTAACCTTCAGACATAGCCTTTGCAGCTCACACTGCATAGCAAACTGCTGGTTATCCCTTGACTCCAGTTTCCCACCTGCTGCACACCGTGGGGAGCAGAGGGTGATTATGGCAGAAGCTGCATCACTCCTCCTACATGGAGGACCTGGCCTGCCTTACAGGCTTCTGTCTCAGGGCCAGCCCAGGCACTGTGTTCCTTAAGTAGCAAAAAGTGAGTTGGAATGATCTCTTTCCCTGCCAAACAAAAGTACCTTTTAATAAAAAAATGCCAAGACATAATGTGTCTTTGTTCGACTCTAAAAATATTAAACAAATTATTGTTATATATTATACATTTTCATATACCATATTTCTTTTTAATTTTATTATTTTTATTTGAAAGATATTAGAGTTACAGAAAGAGAGAAGGAGACAGAGTGAGAGGGAGATCTTTGATCTGCTGGTTCACTCCCCAGAGTCGCATCCTGGTGCTGGGTCAGTTGAAGCCAGGAGCCAGGAGCTGCATGTGAGTACCCCACATGTGTGCAGGGTCCCAGGCACTTGAGCTGTCTTCTGCTGCTTTCCCAAGTATGTTAGCAGGAAACTCTCATGGAAGTAGAGCTACCAGGACTTAACCAGAGCCTGCATGGGATGCTAGTGGCAGAGGAAAGCTTAGTCTGCTACACCATGGCACTGGCAGCAAAGTATCATACTTTTATAAGGCAATCCAATTAATGAATTTAGGATATCTCACCAAGATGAATCACAACCTCAATGAAAATCTACTCTCATTTTACTAACAAACAGTGAATCAATCATCTGACCTAGTGGTTAAGACAATACTTGGAGCACTGCATCCCATCCAAGTAACAGTCTGAGCCGATGCTCAACCCTGCTTCCAGTTCACTGCTGAGGAAGACCTGGAGAGGCAACAAGTGAAGGGCCAGACGATCAGGCCCCCAAAACAACAGGGAGCCCAGGTGTGGCTCTTCACTCAGCCTCAGCTACTGTGAGGATTTGGGGTGTGGGCCAGCACACAGCAGCTCTCTCTCATCTAGCTCTGTAACTCAAACAGAAAAAGGGGCATAATCTGATACACACATTCATGAAGTTGCATATACAATTTTAGGTAAGACAGAAATCAGCCTAAGGGTATGAGGCAGGTATAAGGAAATGAAGCTTCTGCAGCAAGGCCTGACGCTGCCCTCACCACGCCTTGGGAGCACATCATGCAGGAAACCCAGCATCTCACTGGGCCTGACGCTGCCCACAGCACACCTTGGGAATACCTCATGTAGGCAGCCCAGTAGTTCACTCTACCAAGTTCTGTCATACCCGTCACTTTATGAGTGGCCCCAACATTTCTCCTAAACAAGGAACACTAGAAACATTCTGAATCAGCTACCCTGTCTTACAACTTCAGATATTCAAACCTAGGAGAAATTGTGCCTATTTCACGTGCAGTGAACAAAAGTGTTTTATCTGGTACAAGCAGTAAGCCTAACTATTTCCTACAGAGACCCTCTTCGTTACTAAAGAATGTTCTATCCCGGGACTCCCTCTATCATGATGTCCTTGGTCTCTCAGAGAATGGAGACTTGACACTAAGAACTTGAGTTCCAACTCTTAAACCACACTCAGTTTCTTTAATTAGCTGCATGCGAGGGTGTGGGAACAAGTTGGGACTAAACAATGAGGATATGTTTGTTCAAACTGCATCTTGAACACTTAGGAACTGTGGCACTTGATCAGATGTTCACACCTTTAGGTCTCAGTTCTGATCATGTAATATAATAACACTTTACAGACAAGACATAATATGTGCATGCAACCTTTATAACTGAGAGCCATTGCAGTGGTGAAGATAAATACTTTCTCACTGGGGCTTAAAAAAATTAATTTGGGGGCCCAGTGGTATGGTCTAGCGGCTAAAGTCCTCACCTTCTGTGAGGAGCTGTAGAGAGCCTGCAGCCCACACCCTAGATGGACGGGCGCCGAACTGCTGCTTCCTGCTCTGGTAGAAAAAACAAGTCTCAGGAAGTCTGCTGTGATTGGCCCAGGGGTGCGTGGATGGCACGTGGACAGTGCATGATCTGTGTGAGGATTGGCCTGCCTACTGCGTGCAGAGGTG